CAAACTCTCTCTTCCCCCTCTCTTTTTCCCTCCCTCTTTCCCCTATTTCCCATCTCTCTCCCCCCTCTCTCTCCCCCCTCTCTCTCCCCTCCTCTTTCTCTCCCCCTCTCTCTTACACACACATGCACACACACACACAGAAGAGTACATTCATCACAAAGTAATTTTAAGCTAGAAGGGACAGTATTGAGATCAAAGCCAAAGCTCAAAAAAATATACAAGAATTGAACATAAAAGGTATGTGGATAATGGACCACAAATACACACACACACTTACACATACATGCATACATGTACAACACACACCACAAATCACTGCATACTTGCTATATATTTACAGGGGTCTGAGCATTTAGGCAGTAAGCACCACATGTATCCTGATAGCGATCCCTGCAATCACCTGCAGTGGCTGCCACTGGTCAATCATTTCCGGTAGTTACACACACCAAGGTCCTTTCTCTCATCTGTCCTCTACCTCTTTTATTCATGTATTCCCTGTCTGCCTCTCTGTTCTACTCCTGATGATTCATCCATCCTCTCACCGGAGGCTCATTGTGAACATCAGAACACATCAGAAATCAGACACAGGAGCCGTTGGCTCTCATAATGTCAGCCCAGTGTGTGCACAGCACAACACACACACACACACACCTGTTTATGTGCCAATTCACAATAATGCTCACTGTGTTGACACACCTCCTGATATACACTCATCCATACAAACATCCCTCTATATGTTCCTTTCATAACAAGTCACAGTCAGCACACAAAGTAAAGCATGCATTAGTATTTCCATACACACATTCACACACATGCAGACACGCATAGTTTGCCACGGGAGAGACATGCCGCTAATTCCATGAGGAAATGTTATGTTAATAATTGCTTTTGCAGTTTAATTAAGATTTGAGGTCAAAAATAATCCCATTTGATCCAGTGCCATCTAGTGAGCTAAATGAGCTGGGAGAGGAGGGAGAGGAGACTGGACTGGGAAGGCTGGTAGCATCATCTCTCGTGATTCTGCCATGGCATGTCTTTTTTCTCATTCCATGTATGTACTGTACTATGTGAGTGTGGGCTCATTCTGTATCCTCCATATGATGATGAAGATAGCTGTCTTACAGTCCATTTTTAGTGCCTATAATTATTACCGTATTATAATGCTACCTTGCCTTACATCAATATTCACATTTGAGATACAGACGTTCTTCTGAGAAATTACATGAATAATGTACTTTATACCTTGTATTTTAGTTTCCTCTGGGGTAGATATTGAAGAATGGATAACCCTTATGGCTGTATCCTTATAGAGTAGAGCAGAGCCTGAGAAACAAGTTGATTTGGGATGATGACCTTGTAGCATCTGTATGTGAAAATCACCCAAGGAGGATTCAGTATGTGACCTGTAAACACCTCAGGTAGAGAGAGACAATGGTAACCTTCATGGTGACGACACAACAGGTTAACCCCTGAGTTGAAATAACAGCCTTTTTGATTAAAGTCTGAAAAATTGATTAGGTTGAATAGGTTGTTATTTTTATGGCAATGAAAGTGTAATCTTTCATTTGAAACTAATTTATTCCATGATAGGAATAGTTAAGTGAGAAGCTCATGAAAAGATTTCTCCCTTTTTTAAAGGAGAATGGAGGGGGAGTAGTTTGCTGTCAATATTTCAAATAGCATAGCACATAGTATTTTATACAACCTTGGCCAATATTACACTTCTCTTGTTCTGCCTCTCGCCTGCTCTAACCTCTGTGTCCCCTTTCACTCTCTCTCCTTTCCCTGTCTCCCTGTCTCTCCGTCTCCCTGTCTCTCTGTCTCCGTGTCTCCCTCTCTCCCTGTCTCTCTGTCTCCATGTCTCTCCTCTCTCCCTGTCTCTCGTTACCACTGTCTCTCCCTGTCTCCCTGTCCTCTCGTGTCTCCCTGTCTCCCCGTCTCTCTGTCTCCCCCTGGTCTCCCTCTCCCTCTCCCTGTCTCCTGTCTCTCTTTCTCCCCGTCTCTCTCACTCCCTGTTTCCTCTGTCTCCCTGTCTTCTTTGTCTCCCTCTCTCCTGTTTGTCTGTCTCCCTGTCTCTCTGTCTCCCTGGTTCTACTCCCCTTATCTCTCCTTCTCCCTGTCTCCCTGTCTCTCTTCTGTCTCTCTGTCTCTCTGTCGCTCTGTCTCCCTGTCTCCCTGTCTCCCTGTCGCTCTGTCTCCTGTCTCCCTGTCTCTTCATCTCCCTGTCTCCGTCCCCTGTCTCTCTGTCTCCCTGTCTCTCTGTTTTCCCTGTCTCCTGTCCTCCTGTCTCCGTCTATCCTGTCTCTCTGTCTCCCTGTCTCTCTGTTTCCCTGTCTCTCTGTCTCCCTGTCTCTCTCTATTCATGTCTCCCTGTCTTCCTGTCTCTCTGCCTCCCAGTCTCCCTGTCTCTCTGTCTCCCTGTCTCCCTGTCTCTCCGTCTCCCTGTCTCTCTCTCCCTGTATCTCTGTCTCCCTGTCTCCCTGTCTCCCTGTCTCTCTGTCTCTCTGTCTTCATGTCTCCCTGTCTCCCTGTCTTTCGGTCCTTCTGTCTCCCTGTCTCTCCGTCTCCCTGTCTCTCTGTCTCCCTGTCTCTCTGTCTTCGTGTCTCCCTGTCTCCCTGTCTTTCTGTCCTTCTGTCTCCCTGTCTCTCCATCTCCCTGTCTCTCTATCTCCCTGTCTCTCTGTCGATCTGTCTCTCTCTCTGTCTCTCTCTATCTCCTTGTTTGTCTGTCTCCCTGTCTCTCAGTCTCTCGGTCTCCCCATGTCTCTGCTCCCTGTCACCCTGTCACCCTGTCTCTCTGTCTCCCTGTCTCTCTCTCTCCCTGTCTCCCTGTCTCCCTGTCTCATTTGTCTCCCTGTCTCTCTGTCTCCCTGTCTCTCTGTCTCCCTGTCTCTCTCTCCGTCTCCCTGTCTTCCTGTCTCTCTGTCTCTCTCTCTCCCTGTCTCCCTGTCTCTTTTTCTCTCTTTCTCTCTCTCCCTGTCTCCCTGTCATCCTGTCTCCCTGTCTCCCTGTCTCTCTGACTCCCTGTCTCTCTGTCTCCCTTTCTCTCTATCTCCCTGTCTCTCTCTCTTCCTGTCTCCCTGTCCACCCGTCTCCCTGTCTCCCTGTCTCTCTGTCTCCCTCTCTATCTCCCTGTCTCCCTGTCTCTCTGTCTCCCTCTCTCTCTCTCTCCCTGTCTCCCTGTCTCCCTGTCTCTCTGTCACTCTGTCTCCCTGTCTCCCTGTCTCTCTGTCTCCATGTCTCTCTGTCTCCCTGTCTCTCTGTTACCCTGTCTCTCTCTCTTCCTGTCTCCCTGTCTCTCTGTCTCTCTGTCTCCCTGTCTCTCTGTCTCCCTGTCTCCCTCTCTCTCTCCCTGTCTCTCTGGCTCTCTTTCTCCCCGTCTCTCTCACTCCCTGTTTCTCTGTCTCCCTGTCTCTTTGTCTCCCTCTCTCCCTGTTTGTCTGTCTCCCTGTCTCTCTGTCTCCCTGTCTCTCTCCCCTTGTCTCCCTGTCTCCCTGTCTCCCTGTCTCTCTGTCTCTCTGTCTCTCTGTCTCCCTGTCTCCCTGTCTCTCCGTCTCCCTGTCTCTCTGTCTCCCTGTCTCTCTGTTTCCCTGTCTCTCTGTCTCCCTGTCTCTCTTTATTCATGTCTCCGTGTCTCTCTGTCTCTCTGCCTCCCTGTCTCCATGTCTCTCTGGCTCCCTGTCTCTCTGTCTCTCGTCTCCCTGTCTCTCTGTCTCCCTGTCTCTCTGTCTCCCTGTCTCTCTGTCTCCCTTTCTCTCTTTCTCCCTGTCTCTCTCTCTTCCTGTCTCCCTGTCCACCCGTCTCCCTGTCTCTCTGTCTCGCTGTCTCCCTCTCTATCTCCCTATCTCCCTGTCTCTCTGTCTCCTTGTCTCTCTCTCTCCATGTCTCGCTGTCTCCCTGTCTCCCTGTCACTCTGTCTCCCTGTCTCTCTGTCTCCCTGTCTCCCTGTCTCTCTCTCTTCCTATCTCCCTGTTTCTCTGTCTCCCTGTCTCTCTGTCTCCCTGTCTCTCTGTTACCCTGTCTCTCTCTCTTCCTGTCTCCCTGTCTCCCTGTATCTCTGTCTCCCTGTCTCCCTGTCTCTCTATCTCCCTGTCTCCCTGTCCTCTCTCTCTCTCTCTCTCTCTCTCTCTCTCTCTCTCTCTCTCTCTCTCCCTGTCTCTCTGTCTCCTTGTCTCTCTCTCTCCCTGTCTCCCTGTCTCCCTGTCTCTCTGTCACTCTGTCTCCCTGTCTCTCTGTCTCCCTGTCTCTCTGTCTCCCTTTCTCTCTATCTCCCTGTCTATCTCTCTTCCTGTCTCCCTGTCCACCCGTCTCCCTCTCTCCCTGTCTCTCAGTCTCTCTTTCTCCCTGTCTCTCTCACTCCCTGTTTCTCTGTCTCCCTGTCTCTTTGTCTCCCTCTCTCCCTGTTTGTCTGTCTCCCTGTCTCTCTGTCTCCCTGTCTCTCTCTCCCCTTGTCTCCCTATCTCCCTGTCTCCCTGTCTCCCTGTCTCTCTGTCTCTCTGTCTCCCTGTCTCCCTGTCTCTCTGTCTCCCTGTCTCCCTGTCTCTCCGTCTCCCTGTCTCCCTGTCTCTCAGTTTCCCTGTCTCTCTGTCTCCCTGTCTCTCTTTATTCATGTCTCCGTGTCTCCCTGTCTCTCTGCATCCCTGTCTCCATGTCTCTCTGGCTCCCTGTCTCTCTGTCTCTCCGTCTCCTTGTCTCTCTGTCTCCCTGTCTCTCTGTCTCCCTTTCTCTCTGTCTCCCTGTCTCTCTCTCTATCCTCTCTCCCTGTCCCCGTCTCCCTGTCTCCCTGTCTCGCTGTCTCCCTCTCTATCTCCCTGTCTCCCTGTCTCTCTGTCTCCTTGTCTCTCTCTCTCCCTGTCTCGCTGTCTCCCTGTCTCCCTGTCACTCTTTCTCCCTGTTTCTCTGTCTCCCTGTCTCTCTGTCTCCCTGTCTCTCTGTTACCCTGTCTCTCTCTCTTCTGTCCCTGTCTCCCTGTATCTCTGTCTCCCTGCCTCCCTGTCTCTCTATCCTCCCTGTCTCCCTCCTCTCTCTCTCTCTCTCTTCTCCTGTCTCCCTGTCTCCCTGTTCTTCCTCTGTCTCCCTGTCTCCCTCTCTCTTCTCCCTGTCTCTCTTCTCTCTTCTCCCTGTCTCTCTCCTCCCTGTTTCTCGCTCCCTGTCTCTTCCTGTCTCCTCTCTCCTGTTTCTGTCTCCCTGTTCTCTGTCTCCCTGTCTCCTCTCCCTTGTTCCTGTCTCCCTCTCTCTCTGTCTCTCTTCCCTTGTCTCCCTGTCTCTCTGTCTCCCTGTCTCCTTCTCTCCGTCTCCCTGTCTCTCTGTCCGTCTCTCTGTTTCCCAATTCTCTGTCTCCCTTCTCTCTTATTCTCTCTGTCTCTCCCTGCCTTGCCTCCCGCTCCTCTCTCTAGCTCCTGTCTCTCTGTCTCTCCTGTCTCTTGTCTCTCCGCTGTCTCCCTGTCTTTCTGTCTCCCTGTTCTCTCTGTCTCCTGTCCCTCCTTCTCCTTTCCTGTCTCCCCGTCCACTTTTCTCCCTTCTCCCTGTCTCTCTGTCTCCCTTCCTCTTCTCCTGTCGTCTCTCTGTCTCCTTTCTCTTCTTCCCTGTCTTCTGTTCCTCCCTGTCTCCCTGTCCTCTTCTCCTGTCTCCCTGTCTCCCCGTCTCTCTGTCTCCTGTCTCTCTCTTCTCCCTATCTCCCTTCTCTGTCTCCCTGTCTCTCTCTCTCTCTCATGTCTTCCTGTCTCCCTGTCCCCTGTCTCTGTCTCCCTGCTCCTGCTCCCTGTCTCTCTGTCCTCTCTGTCTCTCCTGTCTCTCGCGTTCTCTTCTCTCCTTCTCTCTCTTCTCTCTCTGTCTCCTCTGTCCTTCTCTCGTCTCCCTGTCTCTCTGTCTCCTGTCTCCTCTCTCCTTGTCTCCTGTCTCACCTGTCTCTGTTCCCTTCTCTCCTTCTCGCTCTTCTCTCCTCTCTCCTTTCTCTCCTCCCTGTCCTCCTGTCCTCTCTGTCTCTCTGTCTCTCCCTGTTCTCTGTCTCCCTGTCTCTCTGTCTCCCTGTCTCCCTGTTCCCCCCTGTCTCTCGTCTCTTCCTGTCTCCCTGTCTCCCTGTCTCTCTGTCACCTCTCTCCCTGTCTCTCTATCTCCCTGTCTCTCTGTCTCCCTGTCTCTCTGTCTCCCTGTCTCTCTGTTACCCTGTCTCTCTCTCTTCCTGTCTCCCTGTCTCCCTGTCTCCCTGTATCTCTGTCTCCCTGTCTCCCTGTCTCTCTATCTCCCTGTCTCTATGTCTCCCTGTCTCTCTCACTCCCTGTCTCTCTGTCTACCTGTCTCTTTGTCTCCCTCTCTCCCTGTTTGTCTGTCTCCCTGTCTCTCTGTCTCTCTGTCTCTCTCTCCCCTTGTCTCCCTGTCTCTGTGTCTCTCTGTCTCCCTGTCTCCCTGTCTCTCTGTCTCCCTGTCTCCCTGTCTCTCCGTCTCCCTGTCTCTCTCTCTTCCTGTCTCCTGTCTCCCTGTCTCCCTGTATCTCTGTCTCCCTGTCTCCCTGTCTCTATGTCTCCCTGTCTCTCTCACTCCCTGTCTCTCTGTCTACCTGTCTCTTTGTCTCCCTCTCCCCCTGTTTGTCTGTCTCCCTGTCTCTCTGTCTCTCTCTCCCCTTGGCTCCCTGTCTCTGTGTCTCTCTGTCTCCCTGTCTCCCTGTCTCCCTGTCTCTCTGTCTCTCTGTCTCCCTGTCTCTCTTTATTCATGTCCCCGTGTCTCCCTGTCTCTCTGCCTCCCTGTCTCTCAGTCTCCCTGTCTCCGTGTCTCTCCGTCTCCCTGTCTCTCTGTCTCCCTGTCTCTCTCTCTCCCTGTCTCCCTGTATCTCTGTCTCTCTGTCTCCCTGTCCTCTGTCTCCCTGTCTTTCTGTCCTTCTGTCTCCCTGTCTCTCCGTCTCCCTGTCTCTCTGTCTCTCTGTCTCTCTGTCTCTCTCTCTCTCTGTCTCTCTGTCTCCCTGTTTCTCTGTCTCCCTGTCTCTCAGTCTCTCTGTCTCCCCATCTCTCTGTCTCTCTGTCTCCCTATCTCTCTGTCTCCCTATCTCTCTGTCTCTCCGCCTCCCTGTTTCTCTGTCTCCCTGTCTCTCTTTCTCTCTTTCTCCCTATCTCTCTGTCTCTCTGTCTCTTTGTCTACCTGTCTCTCTGTCTCTCTGTCTCTCTGTCTCTCTGTCTATCTGACTCCCTTTCTCTCTGTCTCACTGATTTCCTCTTTCAGTGGCTATGGACAGCCTCAGGTTACCATGAATATTCATCATTATCACTCACACACATAAACACACACGTGCACGCACATGCGCACAGACACACACGTCATTACACACAGTCTCTTGAATTTTACGGTCTAATCCTTCACATTTCAATGGGGATTTAACTGAATAGTGAAAAGGTCTACCTCCTTCACAACCATCCATTAGTGGTCTGTATAAATACCCATCTGTGGCTATAAATAGTATTTGGGCTATAAACATATTGAAGACAGAAATGACGGTTGATACGACAATACTTATACATGTATCATGGCAGTTTATCCACATCTCCTTTTCTCTTCCCTTTACCACCCAGTCCTTTCATTTTTCTCTCTCTTTTCCATCATCCATGCTCTCACTCTCTCCATTTTCTCTGCCCCCTCTTTCCTCTTTCCCTTTTAGACCTCATCAAGGTCAGTATGACCCTGGCAGGAGAGAGGGAGGGAGAGAGGGATGGGGAGGAAGACAGGGAATGATGGAGGAGGGTCAGAGAACTAATAAAAAAGGGAAAGGGGGGGGGGTCCATAGAGTGAAAGAGGAAATTATTGAGTGATAGAGTGATAAGGGAAGGTAGGGAGGAGGGAGTGAGACCAACAGCAGCAAAAGGAAGCCTCAACTGTGCTTTTACCAGACAGGTTTCCTTGCATTGTCTCCAGAGCTGTCAGATGCTGTGTGACCAGGGAGCTGACGAGGAAAAATATAGTCCTGTGTTTTCCTTACATAACCTAGGTCTGTTAGCATGCCTGACTACCCACCTAGCTCAGATTCTTCCTCCTATTTATCAAATTCCTTCACTCTTTAAATCCCTGTCACCCCTGTGGCTGCTCATATGACACATGGAGGTTGGGTTTGCGAACTGTGGATTTGTTCATGTGTGATTGGCAGTATTATTACCCTAACACACACACATCATTAACACACACACAGTTTATTAATGCGTGTAATTTATCTCAAGCTGGGTCAACTGGATAAGGACCGACACAGCCTGTTATCAAATTAAGAGTTTTTTTCCAGAACGCTACAGCCACCAACTTTTCACATTTGTGTTTTTTCATCAGAAATGATTGCTTATGGGTACTTTCATGTGTGTGTAAAATATGACTGTTCTCAGATTTTGTATTCATAGAATTTTAGATGTGTATGGAAATGTTAATTTTTTTGCAAAACACTATACTGTATATAAATTGTTTCGCTGGAATGGAATGTTCGTATCCAGTCAAGTTCTTCCACATCGATCTCGACAAACCATTTCTGTATGGACCTAGCTTTGTGCACAGGGGCATTGTCATGCTGAAACAGGAAAGGGCCTTCCCCAAACTGTTGCCACAAAGTTGGAAGCACAGAATTGTCTAGAATGGTATTGTATGCTGTAGTGTTAGGATTCACTGGAACCATGAAAAACAGCCCCAGACCATTATTCCTCCTCCACCAAACTTTACAGTTGGCACTATGCATTGGGACAGGTAGCGTTCTCCTGGCATCCGCCAAACCCATATTCGTCCGTCGGACTGCCAGATGGTGAGGCATGAAGCATCACTCCAGAGAACGCGTTTCCACTGCTCCAGAGTCCAATGGCGGCAAGCTTTACACCACTCCAGCCGACGCTTGGCATAGCGCATGGTGATCTTAGGCTTGTGTGCGGCTGCTCGGCCATGGAAACCCATTTCATGAAGCTCCCGACGAACAGTTCTTGTGCTGACGTTGCTTCCAACGGGTGTGGCTAAAATAGCCGAATCCACTAATTTGAAGGGGTGTCCACATACTTTTGTATATATAGTGCACATGTCTGTCATTGAAGAACCCCATGCCATGATTAGATAGTGTGTGTGTTTTTTTTTACCAACATTTCTCTTTTCTTTCATTTGATTCAATTGCTACCATGCACCTGCAACAAAGATAGCGCAGATGATCCAATGCCTTTTAAATTTTGTACCAACATTTCTGAAAATGGATGTATAGCGTTTTGGAATGAAACTCTTTAAATACACCACTTTTAATACATTGAATAAGCTGTGTGTTTTAGGGTTGATAGTTATAGTTGATAATAATACAAATCTTTGACACACACTGAATCTTACAAACAGACACACACTCTCTGACTTATAGCACATACTGTGAGCAGCCACCTCCATCTGGTGGTGTCATCTGAGAGGTGATTTAGCATTGGTGAAAAACAATCATCCATTTACTTCACTTCCCAGACTTCCAAATAATATTTTTCTTTCCTCAGAAGTGGTAGCTTAAGGTCAAATAAAGTACTCAATACAACGGTGAAAGCTGTGAATAGACTGAAAAAAAAACGTTTTATCTAATAGTGGTTGAGAAACAAGGCAGAAGGTCACTGGTGATAATTCCAGGTGGGACGCAGACCCACTGCTGTTCTGTCCTTGACCAAGGTGCTGCTGTAACCAGGATTGGAAAATGTAGCCTAAATGCTATAATTAAGGTATGACTACATTGACATGTGCAGACTGCTAAGTACAACACAGGTTAATTGAAAATATGAAGTTGCCCATGAATTCCCTACGACCCACTGGGCATAGACATCAATTCAACGTCTATTCCACGTTTGTTCAACGTAGTTTCATTGAAATGACGTGGAAACAACGTTGATTCAACCAGTGTGTGCCCAGTGGGGAGTGTAATGATGAGTATGGAGAGTATAGTGTAATGATGTTGTTATTATTCATAACTGACCAAAATTAGTGTTGTTTTATTTATATCTGTGCAGAATTCATACGTCTAGACAGGGATATTGTATTTATATCAAGAGTTTCCTTTATTGATAGGAATCATTAATTATTAAACACTAATTATTCTCATGACCCCTTCGCACAATGCCCCCTCCTCATCCCTTTCCTCATAACGCCCCCCTCCTCATCCCTTTCCTCATAACGCCCCCCCTCCTCATCCCTTTCCTCATAACGCCCCCCTCCTCATCCCTTTCCCCATAATGCCCCCCTCCTCATCCCTTTCCTCATAATGCCCCCCTCCTCATCTCTTTCCTCATAATGTCCCCATCCTCATCCCTTTCCTCATAACACCCCCTCCTCATCCCTTTCTCATAATGCCACGCCTCCGCATCGTCCTTTCCTCATGAACGGCCCCCCGTCCTCATCCCTTTCCTCATAACGCCCCCTCCTCATCCCTTTCCGTCATAATGTTCCCCCTCCCTCATCCCTTTACCTCATAACGCCCCCTCCATCATCCCCCTTCCCGCATACTGCCCTCCCTCCCCATTCTCCCTTTCCTCATAATGTCCCACTCCCCATCCCTTTACCTCCATAACGCCCCCCTCCTCAATCCCTTTCCTCATAAACGCCCCCCCTCCTCATCCCTTTCCTCATAATGCCCCCCCTCCCATCCCTTTCCTCATAACGCCCCCTTCCCTCATCCCCTTTCCATCACATACACCCACCCCTCCTCATCCCTTTCCTCATAATGCCCCCCTCCTCATCCCTTTCCCTCTATAACACCCCCTCCTCATCCCTTTCCTCATAACGCCCCCCATCCTCCCCTTTCCTCAATAACGCCCCCCTCCTCATCTCATCCCTTCCTCATTACGCCCCCCTCCTCATCCCTTTCCTCATAACGCCCCCCTCCTCATCCCTTTCCTCATAACGCCCCCTCCTCATCCCTTTCCTCATAACACCCCTTCCTCATCCCTTTCCTCACAACTCCCCCCTCCTCATCCCTTTCCTCATAACGCCCCCCTCCTCATCCCTTTCCTCATAACGCCCCACTCCTCATCCCTTTCCTCATAGCCCCTCTATTTCAGCAGTTCCTTCTGATGAAAATGAAAGTGAAAGTGTAGGCTCTGCCCTAATTTATGTGCTCTATCATCTCTGGGTCCGCATGGCAAATGGCCCAAGACAATGCCCAAGGACCAGTCAGCCCTTCCCCAGTCAAGGGGCCAAAATCTTTCTCTACAGTATCCAGAGGACGGACTATTGAATGTGTGATACAATAATACTATAGTATCCATGTTTGGTATCTATCAATAGAACTCTAAAGCTAGCTACAGTATATGGATGTATGATCTCTGTGGTTCCTTTAGGTTGTTCAGAGTAAACTCTGAAGACACTGTATGCAATTGACCTACTCAGCCCACCCCCTCAGGTCATCACACATAGATGTGACCCCCTTCCTAGAGGATGTTGGCTGGTTTGATCTGATTGGATATCTTTGTTTTACTACCTTTCGTTTGGTCTGTGGATTGGTCAACAATTGATTTTGAATACAAACAAGTCATATCTGGTATAAATGAAATGAATGTCTGTTGTTCTCTCTCTTATCTTTATCTTTTCTCATTTCCTAGGCTTCTATGCCTCTGGCCTCGTAGGCATCTCTTTGTTCATGCTTTGTCTTGTATGTTAACCTTAGAATCTATATGCCTAGAATTATGTTTTGTTAATAATGTCAGTAATACCTTGTAACTTAAGCTTTATGCCTTGTATGTGAATCCATTCAATGTACAAAGTTATTAAATAATACTTGAATTTTGCGTTCGCTTCTCATGACCATTCCTTGATCTTAGTCAGCTAAACGCCTAATGCTTGCTTGCATATTTTAATTATCTTTATGGAGTCAGATATACTTTTAATAGACTTTGTCCAGTAATTGCATAGTCTTATTACAGGTCGCATGTGAGGTACATATAATGTACACATATCAAATATTACCCCACTACAAAAGCATGGTATTATATGGATGCTTGAGAAAATATGTTTGCTTATGCAGGAATCCCTGCTTTAGTCACCAATTTGTAAACTGGCTTTGTCAGGTTAGCCAAAGGATTTGAATATTTTTACCACCACACAAAAGGCTGTTCTCCTCCACTCTCTCATAATCAGGTCTTGGGAGTGTTATATTTAGCTTCCACTGGCAGATAATAAGTTCTGTAGGGATTATATGCAGACCTTGCCATATCAAAATATTTATTTGAAGTATACTTGTGCCAGTGCCAATAAAAATATATGATAAGATAGATATGATATGACATGTAAATGTGAAAGGCAATGTCACCTAATAGATTATCACAACCAAAGATCCAAACACGCACATGCACCTTTGTGCACACACACACACACACACACACACACACACACACACACACACACACACACACACACACACACACACACACACACACACACACACACACATACACACACACCTTTGTATCAGACAAACAGAACATCTTGCAATATCTACGGTCCTCTGTAGCTCAGCTGGTAGAGCACGGCGCTTGTAACGCTAAGGTAGTGGGTTCGATCCCCGGGACCACCCATACACAAAAAAATTATGCACGCATGACTGTAAGTCGCTTTGGATAAAAGCGTCTGCTAAATGGCATATTATTATTATTATTATCTAGGCACCACCACACAACTCTCAGTTGCATTGAAACTTTGCTATTACTTAATTGGACACAAACATACTGCATATCCCGTTATAGATCTAATACTACTGAAAAAGTCTGAGAGCTTTCTAACAAGTCTCTGACTTACAGTAACTAGCATCAAGTGACAGTCACCTTGCATACTTTTTCTGCTCGAAAACTCCTCCAGCTGAGCAATTTCACAGCCAAGTGAGCGATAATTAGACAGATATTGTCATTAAAGGTCCTTCAATATTCCAATTTCAAAGCACAATGACTGGATAGAGTGATAGTGGGCTACTGCATGGTGTGTCACTGTGGAGCAGATTGAGATAGGCACTATAGAACACAGCAGTGCTGCATAGATTGGGGTTTGCTGCCTGGAACTCCTGTGACTGATTGAAGCTCTGGCCTGCTTTGAGTGAAGTTATTTCTGGCACACATTAATACATGGGGAACATGTTGTCTCCTTCTGAGCTTTCTATCTCCCTTAGCACTGAAACAAATATATCAGCGCCACAGGAAGAAAATAACAGAAAGCCTGCTAATTGAGAGCAACAGAGGCACAATAGGAATGGGGTTATTTGATGAGGACTTTGAGGAGGACCTTTGTATTAGTAGAGGGTAGAGGAGATGGGATGCAGGAATGAAAAGATGGAGAAGCACCCTTCTTTTACCATCCACCCTCACCTATCCATCTGCTGGTCTAGCATACATTATACATTTTACTTAAGCAAATTATTACAGTGTGATAGCTATTCAATCTCACATATAAAAAACAAAACTTGATGTGAGTGTGACTTACCACAAATACAGTGGCTTGTGAAAAGATTCACCCCCCTTGGCATTTTTCCTATTTTGTTGCCTTACAACCTGGAATGAAAATTGATTTTTTGGGGGGTTGTATCATTTGATTTACACAACATGCCTACCACTTTGAAGATGCAAGTCTCTTGGGGTATGTCTCTATTAGCTTGGCACATCTAGCCACTGGGATTTTTGCCCATTCTTCAAGGCAAACCTGCTCCAGCTCTTTCAAGTTGGATGGGTTCCGCTGGTGTACAGCAATCTTTAAGTCATACCACAGATTCTCAATTGGATTGAGGTCTGGGCTTTGACTAGGCCATTCCAAGACATTTAAATGTTTCCCCTTAAACCACTAGAGTGTTGCTTTAGTAGTATGCTTAGGGTCATTGTCCTGCTGGAAGGTGAACCTCCGTCCCAGTCTCAAATCTCTGGAAGACTGAAACAGGTTTCCCTCAAGAATTTCCCTGTATTTAGCGGCATCCATCATTCCTTCAATTCTGACCAGTTTCCCAGTCCCTGCCGATGAAAAACATCCCCACAGCATGATGCTGCCACCACCATGTTTCACTGTGGGGATGGTGTTCTCGGGGTGATGAGAGGTGTTGGGTTTGCGCCAGACATAGCGTTTTCTTTGATGGCCAAAAAGCTCAATTTTAGTCTCATCTGACCAGAGTAAAGCCCAGCTCTGTGGAGTGTACGGCTTAAAGTGGTCCTATGGACAGATACTCCAATCTCCACTGTGGAGCTTTGCAGCTCCTTCAGAGTTAACTTTGGTGTCTTTGTTGCCTCTCTGATGAATGCCCTCCTTGCCTGGTCCACTTCACCATTCCACTTCACCAATTTGGACTATTTTGTGTATGTCCATTACATGAAATCCAAATAAAATCCATTTAAATTACAGGTTGTAATGTAACAAAATAGGAAAAATGCCAAGGGGGATGAATACTTTTGCAAGGCACTGTAGCTGTGTGTGCGTGCCTGTGTGCGTATGTGTGTGTGTTCAGCACAGCTACAATTTCCACAGGATTGGAAAGTTGATCCACCTGCCATTGCTCAGGTGTCAGACATGATGAGAGTATCCTTATTCATATCGCCACCCCCTCCATCAAACTAATTAGCAGATACACAGATAAGTGAAATTTGGACTCAAAACGCATATACATTTTTTATATGGTCAGCTGGGATGAATGGGTGTCAGGTCACATTTGGCTTGGGTTCCTGCTCTACCTGTCCCTCACATTTGACCCAACCATATCAACCTGACACTGTGCAGCATTCAAATCAAATCAAATCAAATCAAATTTTATTGGCCACATGCGCCGAATACAACAGGTGTAGACATTACAGTGAAATGCTTACTTACAGCCCTTAACCAACAATGCATTTATTTTTTAATAAAAAAGTAAAATAAAACAACAACAAAAAAGTGTTGAGAAAAAAGAGCAGTTGAGGTAATATGTACATGTGGGTAGAGTTAAAGTGACTATGCATAAATTATTAACAGAGTAGCAGCAGCGTAAAAAGATGGGGTGGGGGTGGGGGTGGCGGGGCAGTGCAAATAGTCCGGGTAGCCATGATTAGCTGTTCAGGAGTCTTATGGCTTGGGGGTAGAAGCTGTTGAGAAGTCTTTTGGACCTAGACTTGGCACTCCGGTACCGCTTGCCGTGCGGTAGCAGAGAGAACAGTCTATGACTAGGGTGGCTGGAGTCTTTGACAATTTTGAGGGCCTTCCTCTGACACCGCCTGGTATAGAGGTCCTGGATGGCAGGAAGCTTGGCCCCAGTGATGTACTGGGCCGTACGCACTACCCTCTGTAGTGCCTTGCGGTCGGAGGCCGAGCAGTTGCCATACCAGGCGGTGATGCAACCAGTCAGGATGCTCTCGATGGTGCAGCTGTATAATTTTTTGAGGATCTGAGGACCCATGCCAAATCTTTTCAGTCTCCTGAGGGGGAATAGGCTTTGTCGTGCCCTCTTCACAACTGTCTTGGTGTGTTTGGACCATGATAGTTCATTGGTGATGTGGACACCAAGGAACTTGAAGCTCTCAACCTGTTCCACTACAGCCCTGTCGATGAGAATGGGGGCGTGCTCAGTCCTCTTTTTTTCCTGTAGTCCACAATCATCTCCTTTGTCTTGGTCACGTTAAGGGAGAGGTTGTTATCCTGGCAACACACGGCCAGGTCTCTGACCTCCTCCCTATAGGCTGTCTCATCGTTGTCGGTGATCAGGCCTACCACTGTTGTGTCGTCAGCAAACTTAACGATGGTGTTGGAGTCGTGCCTGGCCATGCAGTCATGGGTGAACAGTGAGTACAGGAGGGGACTGAGCACGCACCTCTGAGGGGCCCCTGTGTTGAGGATCAGTGTGGCAGATGTGTTGTTACCTACCCTTACCACCTGGGGGCAGCCCGTCAGGAAGTCCAGGATCCAGTTGCAGAGGGAGGTGTTTAGTCCCAGGATCCTTAGCTTAGTGATGAGCTTTGAGGGCACTATGGTGTTGAATGCTGAGCTGTAGTCAATGAATAGCATTCTCACGTAGGTGTTCCTCTTGTCCAGGTGGGAAAGGGCAGTGTGGAGTGCAATAGAGATTGCATCATCTGTGGATCTGTTGGGGCGGTATGCAAATTGGAGTGGGTCTAGGGTTTCTGGGATAATGGTGTTGATGTGAGCCATGACCAGCCTTTCAAAGCACTTCATGGCTACAGACGTCAGTGCTACGGGTCGGTAGTCATTTAGGCAGGTTATCTTAGTGTTCTTAGGCACAGGGACTATGGTGGTCTGCTTGAAACATGTTGATATTACAGACTCAGTCAGGGACATGTTGAAAAAGCTCTACCCTTTAGCTCAGTGCGGATGTAACAGTGTTGCTTCCATCCCTCTCCTCGCCCCTACCTGGGCTTGAACCAGGGACCCTTTGCACACATCGACAACAGTCACCCTCGAAGCACCGTTACCCGTCGCTCCACAAATGCCGCGGCCCTTGCAGAGCAAGGGAAACAACTACTTCAAGGTCTCAGAGTGAGTGACGTCACTGATTGAAATGATACTAGTGCGCACCGCTAACTAGCTAGCCATTTCACACCGGTTACACTCACCCCCCTTTTGACCTCCTCCTTTTCCGCAGCAACCAGTGATCCGGGTCAACAGCATCAATGTAACAGTGTTGCTTCCGTCCCTCTCCTCGCCCCTACCTGGGCTTGAACCAGGGACCCTCTGCACACATCGACAACAGTCATCCTCGAAGCACCGTTACTCGTCGCTCCACAAAAGCCGCGGCCCTTGCAGAGCAAGGGAAACAACTACTTCAAGGTCTCCGAGCGAGTGACGTCACCGATTGGAATGCTACTAGTGCGCACCGCTAACTAGCTAGCCATTTCACACCGGTTACACGGATATTGCCTGTAATCCATGGCTTCTGGTTGGGGTATGTACATACGGTCACTGTGGGGACTGTCATGAACCCTGCATCCTGAGTCGGTTCCTGCCTGTGTTGCCATTTTTCTGCTCGGAATCTCCAGTTTCCTGAGGGTTCGTGAACGCTCCCGGCCTGGTTGCCAGGCGACGTTGCTAGGCGGGAGATCTCCTGATTAACCGCACCTGCATCTCATCAGCGGTCTGCACACCTGGTCCTGATCATCACCCTTCTTAAGCCCTGACCTGACATCCATTCCCTGCCGGATCGTTAGCCATGAACAGTATGTTTGTCAGTGTATCAGCCTTGGAGTTTCTAGCGTTAGTTTTGTTGTTTTGCACCTTGTTGGCTTGACGTGTACTTACCTCCGTTTTGTTTCTATCTGCAGTCAATCTCCCGGAACCTTCACCCAACCCCTGCCTGGTTGTCGGCGGCTGCCGAGCCATTCTTGGATCTACCACTGCACCTCCACCAACTCATCTCCGCCGTCCGCTCTGTCCCCTGGATTATTCTACATCGTTTTTTGAATCTGTTAAATAAATACTCACCTTCGTTTCAACTCACCTTGTCCTGGTCTGCTTCTGGGTTCTGGCTTAGTAAACCGTGACAGAACGATCTGGCCAGAAATGAACCCAGCGGACCTGGACTCTGTTCGCCATGCCATTACCCATCAGGAGAAGATGTTGGGACAACATAGCACGGCGCTACAGGAGATAGCTTTGTCCGTTCGGAACATTTCTACCAGTCTGACGAAGATCCAGGCTCAGCTCAGTTTGCCGGTGGAGAATCCACGACCGGTTTCACCCATCTCGCCTGCCGCTTCTGGAGCTGTGCCCTTCCGTGAGCCCAAGGTTCCGACGCCTGATAAATATGAGGGGGAGTTGGGAAGATGCCGTTCTTTCCTTATGCAGTGTGGATTAGTGTTCGATCTACAGCCCCACTCTTATGCCACAGACAAGGCTAGGATAGCCTTTGTCATTGAGTTGCTGCGTGGTCGAGCTCTGGAGTGGGCTTCAGCCGTTTGGGAACAACAGGACACCTGCATGGCCTCATACCAGGAGTTCACGGCCGAGATGAGGAAGCTATTTGACCATTCCGTCCGAGGTATGGACGCAGCTAGGCGCCTGTTTTCGCTTCGCCAAGGAACTCGCAGCGTTGCCGACTTCGTGATCGAGTTCAGGACTTTGGCTGTGGAGAGTGGGTGGAATGAGGAGTCTCTGCAAGCGGCCTTTTACCAGGGGCTGTCGGAGCAGCTCAAGGATGAGTTGATCTCCTATCCGGAGCCTAGTGACCTGGACAGCTTGGTAGCCTTGTCTATTCGGGTGGATAACCGAGTTCGAGAGAGAAGGAGGGAGAAGCAATGGGGCCCGTCCACTTGTTCCCGGCGGTCGTCAAACTGCTCGGCTCGCTAAAGTTGGGAGGTCTTTTAGCGAGCCAGTTTCAACCTCTCAATACCTCTGTCAGACCCCGTTTCCCGGCTACCCTCATGAACAGGAATCAGAATCTAGCGATTAACGCTTTCGTCGATTCAGGTGCCGATGGAGGCTTTATTGATGCCGAAGTGGTGGAACAGCTGGGGCTTTCCAAGGAGCGATTACCGGAAGCCATTGAAGCTACCACTCTGAACGGCAGTAGTCTGGCACGTATCACGATGAGGACTGAACCGGTTAAGATGCTGTTGTCAGGGAATCATTCTGAGGTGATCTCATTCTTCATTCTGCCTTCTTCCCATGTTCCTCTGGTCCTTGGATACCCCTGGCTGAAGGAACACAATCCCACGTTCGATTGGGTGACTGGCAAGGTAACTAGTTGGAGCCTTGAGTGTCATGCTAACTGCCTCAAGACTGCCTGTTCCCATTCTGTTCCCAGTCAGGTGATTGAGGCTAGACCCCCAGATTTGTCCCTGGTTCCCGAGATATCACGATTTGGGGGAAGTGTTCAGTAAGCAGAGGGCTCTGTCACTCCCTCCCCACCGACCATATGACTGTGCCATAAACCTGTTCCCTGGAGCTGTCTATCCAAAGGGACGGTTTATACAGCATCTCCCGACCTGAACGTGAGGCTTTGGAGACCTACATCAAGGAGTCCCTAGCGGCTGGTCTCATTCGTCCCTCATCATCACCCCTGGGGGCAGGATTCTTCTTTGTGGGTAAGAAGGATGGCTCTCTTCGACCGTGTATTGATTATCGGGGGTTGAATGATATCACGGTCAAGAACAAGTATCCCCTGCCCTTGATGAGCTCTGCCTTCGACTCCTTACAGGGTGCTACTGTGTTCACCAAGCTAGACCTACGCAATGCGTATCACCTGGTCCGGATCAGAGAGGGGGACGAGTGGTTGACGGGTTTCAATACACCGATGGGTCACTTCGAGTATCAGGTGATGCCGTTTGGACTGACCAATGCTCCAGCAGTGTTCCAGAGTATGGTGAATGACGTCCTGAGAGATATGATCGGTCTCTTTGTGTTTGTTTACCTGGATGACATTCTTATCTTCTCGAAGGAACCTTCCAGCCACGTCCAGCAGGTCAGGCAGGTTCTGCAGCGATTGTTGGAGAATCGCCTGTTCGTGAAGGCCGAGAAGTGCGAATTTCACGCCCACACTACATCCTTCCTCGGGTACATCATCTCCAGGGGAGAGATCAGGATGGACCAGGAGAAGGTTAGGGCGGTTCTGGAATGGGCCCAGCCCGGTACGAGATTGCAGCTCCAGAGGTTTCTGGGGTTTGCGAATTTCTATCGCAGATTCATCCGGGATTACAGCCGTGTGGCCGCTCCTTTAACTGCCCTGACTTCCAGTACCAGGACCTTCAGTTGGAACCCTGAGGCGGACCGAGCGTTCCTGGATTTGAAGAGGCGATTCACCAACGCACCGATTCTCTCTCAACCTGACACGGCCCGTCAGTTCGTCGTGGAAGTGGATGCGTCTGATGTGGGGGTTGGCGCCATCCTGTCCCAGCGATGCTCCACTGACGGGAAACTCCATCCCTGCGCCTACTACTCTCGTCGTCTTTCGTCTGCGGAGAGGAACTACGATGTGGGGTAACCGGGAGCTTCTCGCGGTGAAGCTTGCCTTGGAGGAGTGGCGCCACTGGTTGGAGGGGGCGGAGCAACCGTTTATTGTCTGGACCGACCACAAGAATCTTGCTTACGTGCAATCGGCTAGACGTCTCAACTCCCGTCAGGCCAGGTGGGCTTTGTTTTTCGGACGCTTTAATTTTTCCCTGACGTTCCGACCTGGGTCTAAGAACGGCAAGGTGGACGCCTTGTCCCGGATGTTTTCCAAGACGGAGGAGAGTGGGGCCAAGACCGAGACGATTCTTCCCCGGAACTGTGTCGTGGGAGCAGTTATGTGGAGGATTGAGGAGGAGGTTATGGCGGCCCTTCGGACGCAGCCCGGTCCCGGTAACGGTCCACCCGGTCGTTTGTTTGTGCCTGAGTCGGTTCGTTCTGCTGTCCTCCAATGGTCCCACGCCAGCAAGATGGCTTGTCACCCTGGTGTGGCCCGGACGATGGCGTTACTTCGCAGACGATTTTGGTGGCCGGCCATGGGAGAAGATACTCGGAGGTTTGTTGCTGCCTGTCCAGTGTGTGCGCAGAATAAGAGTGCCAACCGGCCCAGCTCTGGACTACTTCACCCCCTCCCTATTCCCCGGCGACCATGGTCGCATCTGGCCCTGGACTTTGTCACTGGGTTGCCCTCTTCTGAGGGGAACACGGTCATTCTGACTATCGTGGACAGATTCAGCAAGTTCGCCCACTTTGTGCCCATTTCCAAGCTTCCCTCGGCCTCTGAGACGTCCAAGATCCTGGTTAGGGAGGTTTTCAGGGTCCACGGGTTGCCCAGTGACATAGTTTCCGACCGTGGCCCTCAGTTTACCTCTGCTGTCTGGAAGTCTTTCTGTTTGGCCATTGGAGCTACAGTCAGTCCTCACATCTGGTTTTCACCCCCAATCTAATGGTCAGGCGGAGAGAGCCAACCAGAAGATGGAATCCACGCTACGCTGCCTTGTCTCCTCCAACCCCACCTCCTGGGTCTCTCAGTTGCCTTGGGTTGAGTATGCCCACAATACTCTCCCTACATCTGCCACTGGGATGTCTCCCTTCCAGTGCCTGTATGGCTACCAACCTCCCTTGTTTCCTTCTCAGGAGAAGGATCTCTCAGTGCCCTCTGTTCAGGTCCACATTCGTCGTTGCCACCGGACCTGGCATCGGGCCAGAAAGGCCCTCCTTAGAGTTTCTGACCGGTATCAGCTCCAGGCGAATCGTCGCCGGATTCCCGCCCCCACCTATACCATCGGAGATAGGGTCTGGTTGGCCACACGGGATCTTCCTCTGCGGACTGAGTCTAAGAAACTGTCACCGAAGTTCATTGGTCCGTTTGTGGTGGAGAAGGTGATCAATCCTGTGGCGGTTCGACTCAAGTTACCTAGAACGCTCAGAGTCCATCCCACCTTTCATGTCTCCTGCCTCAAGCCTGTTCTCCTCAGTCCTCTGTTACCCCCCTCCGCCTCCTCCTCCTCCCCCTCGGATGATCGGAGGTGGTCCTGCCTACACGGTGCGCCGCATTATGGATTCCAGACGGCGGGGCCGGGGTTTCCAGTATCTCGTGGACTGGGAGGGGTATGGTCCTGAAGAGAGGAGTTGGATTCCTCGGCGCCAGATCCTGGATGCTGACCTCCTTCGTGACTTCTACCGCCTCCATCCTGGCGCTCCGGGTAGTCCGCCCGGTGGCTTTCGTCGGAGGGGGGGTACTGTCATGAACCCTGCATCCTGAGTCGGTTCCCTGCTGTGTTGCCATTTTTTCTGCTCGGAATCTCCAGTTTCCTGAGGGTTCGTGAACGCTCCCCGGCCTGGTTGCCAGGCGACGTTGCTAGGCGGGAGATCTCCTGATTAACCGCACCCTGCATCTCATCAGCGGTCTGCACACCTGGTCCTGATCATCACCCTTCTTAAGCCCTGACCTGACATCCATTCCCTGCCGGATCGTTAGCCATGAACAGTATGTTTGTCAGTGTATCAGCCTTGGAGTTTCTAGCGTTAGTTTTGTTGTTTTGCACCTTGTTGGCTTGACGTGTACTTACCTCCGTTTTGTTTCTATCTGCAGTCAATCTCCCGGAACCTTCACCCAACCCCTGCCTGGTTGTCGGCGGCTGCCGAGCCATTCTTGGATCTACCACTGCACCTCCACCAACTCATCTCCGCCGTCCGCTCTGTCCCCTGGATTATTCTACATTGTTTTTTGAATCTGTTAAATAAATACTCACCTTCGTTTCAACTCACCTTGTCCTGGTCTGCTTCTGGGTTCTGGCTTAGTAAACCGTGACAGGGACGACGTCATCGAAGCACTTATTGATGAAGCCAGTGACTGATGTGGTGTACTCTTCAATGCTATCTGAAGAATCCCGGAACATGTTCCAGTCTGCTAGCAAAACAGTCCTGTAGCTTAGCATCTGCGTCATCTGACCACTTTTGTATTAACCAAGTCACTGGTGCTTCCTGCTTTAGTTTTTGCTTATAAGCAGGAATCAGGAGGATAGAGTTATGGTCAGATTTGCCAAATGGAGGGCGAGGGAGAGCTTTGTATGCGTCTCTGTGTATGGAGTAAAGGTGGTCTAGAGTTTTTTTTTCCTCTGGTTGCACATTTAACATGCTGGTAGAAATTAGGCAGAACTGATTTAAGTTTCCCTGCATTAAAGTCCCCGGCCACTAGGAGCGCTGCCTCTGGATGAGTGTTTTCCTGTTCACTTATGGCCTTATACAGCTCATTCAGTGCAATCTTAATGCCAGCATTGGTTTGTGGTGGTAAATAGACAGCTATGAAAAATATAGATGAAAACTCTCTTGGTAAATAGTGTGGTCTACAGCTTATCATGAGATACTCTACCTCAGGCGAGCAAAACCTTGAGACTTCCTTGGTATTTGATTTTGTGCACCAGCTGTTGTTTACAAATATACACAGACCGCCACCACTTGTCTTACTGGAGTCAGCCGTTCTATCCTGCCGATGTAGCGTATAGCCCGCTAGCTGTATGTTGTCCATGTCGTCGTTCAGCCACGACTCGGTGAAACATAATATATTACAGTTTTTAATGTCCTGTTGGTAGGATAACCGTAATCTTAGGTAATCTATTTCATTCTCAAATGATTGAACATTGGCTAATAGGATTGATGGAAGAGGCAGTTTACTCGCTCGCCGTCGGATCCGTACAAGGCACCCCGTCCTACGTCCACGATACCTCTGTCTCTTTCTCATGCGAATGACGGGGATTTGGGCCCTGTAGGATATCCTTCGCGTCCGACTTGTTGAAGAAAGAATCTTCATCCGATACGAGGTGAGTAATCGCTGTCCTGATATCCAGAAGCTCTTTTTGGTTATAAGAGACGATGGCAGAAACATTATGTACAGAATAAATTACAAATAACGCGGAAAAACACACATAGTAGTACAATTGGTTAGAGGGCTGTGTATATCAATCATCCTTGAGCTGTCTGAGCTATCTCATCTGACCTATAGGCTACTATTCATGTCTATCCAACAGTCTTGTTTCAAATACATTAAGGCATTTGAATATTTTGGGAAAAATCTTTGGGAAATGTTATAGTGCACTGTGCAGTTGGAAAAATCCATAATCCCAGCCTTCTGTTGTCATGCATCCTATAGCTATTGTCCATACCTGCTCTGAACAAAAGGTTCACCCTTCATTTCTGTGTTATGAATTACTGTTAAATGGTGTTACACAACAAAACACCTAGGCGTTTATTCGTTCATAAGAGAGCCGTTTAAGCCTAAATGCATTAAATGGTCAATTGTGTAAATTAAGCTGAATCTTTTTGCATTTTGTTAGAGACAGTCAGTTTCACAGCAGCCTACTGTAGCCTAGAAAGGTAGTCTAAAATTATAGTTCGAATTGACCCTTGAATAAAAAGGGAGCTTCTGTCGCGCGCCGTTTTTTGCCAAATGCACATAAATGAATTGCCTATAGTGACTAATAATCCCCAGTCTACTTGTTGAATCCTTGAGCTGACTTTTAATGTTTGTTCGAGAGTAGGCAGGCTAATCAATGTGTTGTAGTTCTGTTTAGACACGGATTTACCTACCTGCCCGAAGACTGATTTCACTATCGGATGCAGATTGGAGTCATGTTCAGATGGAGCTGTGCTGCGTCTTTTGGCGGTGCGGGTGGTAAGGGGACCGGCCACTGGCGTGGACGTTGCCGGTGGGTCAGAGTTTAAACTCGTGGACGACCCAGTATTTATTCTGTCCTTTGATTCAAAAAAGTATGCAGTGTCGTCGGATTGTTTTGTATAGGATGGAGTTGGCGAGGACCTCCGGTCTGGACGTGCGTTCCCGTGGAGATGCGCCGGCGGCAGGTCACCTTTGGAGGTGTTGTGATGGTGGTGGTGTGGGTGTCTGGACGACTTACTGCGGTCTTTCCCACTGCGATCCATCCGCTCTCTCATTTCTTCCTGGCTGTAGCCGTCATCGTAGTGGCTGCTGTGTTGGTGGGAATGGTGGGAATGTCCCCGTTTATCACCTCCATTCCTGTCTGTCCTGCCACCGGCATGCCTCGGTTGACAAAGCGGTCTGCGCGCGCTTGCCTCGCACTCATCGCTCCAAAACAGATCGTCAGGTACACCGCTACCTCCATCGGGTTGATGATGGTGACTGCGGTGGCTGCGCAACTCATGATGCTCAGAATGATGTGCGGACCTGCGACTCACCAGTACCGCTGAAGATCTCAGCAGAGAGGTGGTAGATTCGCTCTTGGGAAGAGAGGAGCTCATTGCCGTATGCCGTTCCCTTTACCTTAATTTATTATTGTGTGCAGATACCAGGACTAGACTGAAGGTCGTGTGAATACAGTTGCAGGTGCTGAGCATTTAAAGCCGGTGTACTGTGTAGTCAGGGCAATCTGTTGGATCCCTTCTCAGTAGCCTATTCGCGCGTCTCTATAGCCTAGGCTACAATGCAAACTAAGAACACCCACCCACTGTGAAATGATAAAGTTCTGAATGCCACCTGCTCGCTCTATTGTAAAGATGCGAGACTACGTGTCATGCGAGGTGACGAATCAGTCGCTTCTATACAAGCGCAGAACGCATCAGTGAATTTGGGTGGCTTTGGAGGGGGATTTTATAGTTGCCTGCTATGTGGCGTGGCGCACACTGTCCTCGCGCAATATTCGCTAGGTCCCACGTCACCACAGATTATAATGAACCGTGAAAGAGCCGTATATCGTCATAATTAGTCACTGCTTTACTCATTCATCCCGACCCCAGGGGGTCGTGAGGTTGACCATCACATGATGTGAGGCAAGATAATAGGTGAGAGGGTTACGAAATTGGTTTTACTTCACTGCCTTGCCAGAGCAATTGTCAGTCAGAGGTTTTTTGTTCAGTTATTGATTATGCTACCTAAGTGGGACTGCATCTCTTGGACAAATATTCCTATATTCATGTCAAAGTTAAGTACATTAATATCAGCATGATATTCTCAATTTCATCAATGAATCATATTGCAGGGAAGGAACTGTTTTCCTCTTTTCCTCTCCTCTCATCTCTCCGAGGACCATTGGGAATTGCCAATCTACCAGAGTAGAAAGCAACAGCCTGCATGGAATTCCGATTCGAACTCCCCATCCCCAGACCTATCTAACCTTCTCCCAACTTTCCATCCATCCTATAGCCTACTCTAAACATTTTCAAAATATCTATCGGGTGAAACCCTATTGCTCAATGGCCTCAAAACAAAAATCAATATATATTTATTTTCCACCACAATGTCTAAGTAGGCTATTACCACTCCTGTTGGCAGTTGGCTCTTTCTCAAGTGGCCTCTGTCCTCTGCCCAGTGTTCTCCCTCCCTCCCTCCATCCTCTCTAACCACAACTCTCTCTCTAGGGTAAACAGATGCTCTTAAGCTGAAAGTGGAGCTTATGTAACATTGTACCTTCACCTTTCAACCCCATCTCCATACAGTCCTAATGGTCAAATTACATGTACAATCACTTAGCACTTCACCTTTTATGAAGGGTTTGTAAAGGAGGTATAATTGTTTGTAATTGTGTGATTGTTTGTGCTTGCTAAATAATTTAGTTATATGTGGCTGTTATAATTCAATCAATTAGTTATTACTGTTTATTACCAATAAAAAAATGCTCTTTAAACAAACTGTTTCTACAACTTTTGCAAAGCCTTTATAAAGGGCACTTTAATGTAAAGGGTATTTTGAACAGCATCATTTACTCATATGAGTGTGTCAAATGTATTTGTCTCAATGGAAATTACAAAAAAATTATAATATTCACTATACATTCTTGACCATACATATTTGGGTCATTCCATCAATTTGGTCAAAGAAAACGTTTGATTTCACCTCATTTTTACATTCTGTCATACACTGTAATTCCCAAGGCATTTTAAACTAAAATACTTATAGTAATTTGTACTCAAAGTCAATGAAAAGTCATTATTACTTAAAATGTTTAAGCGGTAACTTTTTTCCAAGCATGCTCTACTGCAGGTTGATTTTTTGGAATTGTTTTTAATATCTGTGTTTTTGCATGTACATTGAGGGATTGATTGATTAAATATTATGCTACACCCAGAAAAATAAAACAATTCTAACTAATCCAATCATTCAATTTTTGCACCCGTTACTGAAATGGTTGTTCCAGTTTAAATGGCTTAGGTAGTTTCCTCCTACTGTTCTTAACCCTGGCAGTCATTATGAATGCAGGTTGCTGGTGAATACAAATTTCAACTCTTGGATAGCTTAACGCTGGTTAAATTCCAATAGGAATTACACACCACTTTGCAAGCCAGGATAATGTGATTTACAGTTAGGGTTGCAAAATTCAGGTACATTTCCCAGGTTTTCCAAAAATCCTGGTTGGAAGATTACTGGGGGGGGAAATGATAAAGTTTGTGGAATTTTGCAACCCTACTTGCAGGCCTGAAGTGGCCTGTAAACTATGAGTTTTAGGCCACTGTATAAGGCCATATGATATATGTAATGGTTTAATTATAATGATAATATTCGCCTAGGAACTCACTTGGTGAAGGCCACAGGACTGAAAATGAACTAATTCAACAACCATGTTTCTGGCACTAACAAATACAGTCATGGGTGGTAACTCTACAATTCAATCGAAAAGGCAAGGTACACTACCGGTCAAAAGTTTTAGAACACCTACTCATTCAAGGCTTTTTCTTTATTTGTACTATTTTCTACATTGTAGAATAATAGTGAAGACATCCAAACTATGAAATAACACATATGGAATCATGTAGTAACCAAAAAAGTTTTAAACAAATCAAAATATATTTTATATTTGAGAATCTTCAAATAGCCACCCTTTGCCTTGATGACAGCTTTGCACACTCTTGGCATTCTCTCAACCAGCTTCACCTGGAATGCTTTTCCAACAGTGTTGAAGGAGTTCCCACATATGCTGAGCACTTGTTGGTGTCACACGCTGATCTGTTTCACCTGTCTTTGTGATTGTCTCCACCCCCCTCCAGGTGTTGCCCATCTTCCCCATTATCCCCAGTGTATTTATACCTGTGTTCTCTGTTTGGCTGTTGCCAGTTCGTTTTGTTTCGTCAAGCCTACAAGCGTTTTTCCCCTTGCTCCTGTCTTTTCTAAAGTTCCTGTTTTCTAGTTTTCCCAGTTTTGACCATTCTGCCTGCCCTGACCCTGAGCCTGCCTGCCGTCCTGTACCTTGTCCCACCAGACTGGATTATTGACCTCTGCCTGCCCTGACCATGAGACTGCTTGCCGTTCTGTACCTTTTGGACTCTGATCTGCATTACTGACCTCTGCCTGCCCTTGACCTGTCATTTTGCCTGACGCCTGTTCCAGTAATAAACTTTTGTTACTTTGTCACTGTCTGCATCTGGGTCTTCCCTAAAACGTGATAGTACGAACTGGTCATGACCAACACAGCAGACAGACCAGCTCCACAATAGCTGTCTCCCTGCAAGAAGCCACCGTTGGACGACATGAGGAGTTACTGCAATGTCTTATGGAGGGACTCCATACCCTGGCAGAACGCCATGACCAAGCGTTCGAGACCTTGCTGGAGCAATTCCGCGGATTCCTCACTGGGAAGCAGGTGACACACATAAACTCCCAGCCTACCCCAGTGTCCAGAGAACCCCACTTACCTCCTCCGGAGCACTACGCTGGAGACTCCGGAACCTGTCAGGCTTTTCTCTCCCAGTGCTCCCTCATTTTCGAGCTGCAGCCTTCTTCCTTCCCCTCGGAAGTTTGTGGCTGAAGTTCGGAAGGTGTTTGATTCTCCGTTTTCCTGGTAAAGAGGCTGCTCGTAAGCTGCTCCAGCTACTTCAAGACTCCCGTAGTGTGGCAGGTGGATTTTCGTACATTGGTGGCTGAGAGTGCCTGGAACCCGGAAGCATTGTTCAACATGTTCCTTCACAGATTATCGGAGGTGGTCAAAGATGAGATTGCAGCCCGGGAGCTGCCCATGGACCTTGACTCCCTCATTGACTTGACCATCCGGATCGATGGGCGGCTTCGAGAACGTAGGAGGGAGAGGGAATCTGTGCCCTTTCGCCCTTGTTCGCCCTCGATTCCCACCTCGCCTCCGAAGAATCCCCGGAGACCCCCGAAGTCTACATGTCCAAGTGAACCCGACGTCAACCAAGTTCTCTCGGGAATCACCGACGGCTGCCGACTCGCCTCCTTCGGAGTCCAGGCACCTGGGCACGGCTAGGTTGACTCCGGCTGAGCGCTTACGCCGACTCCACACCCAGAGCTGTCTATATTGTGGCGCTATGGGACATTTCGTATCTACCTGCCCATTAAAAAACCAGGCCCATCAGGAAGGGGCGAGTATGTTGTTAGGGAGAATATAGGATGAACCACAATAATTGTTTGCTAAAATAATAATTGCTTGTCAAAAATGTAATGTAATACAATGGCAATCCGGGTTATAGGTTCAAATCCTACGCATGAACTGCCAACATTATTACACATATTAATTGATAATGATGGAAAAGAAGATATGCAAGATATTTGAATAGATATATATTTTTAAATAGCTATATATATATATTGAGGTGAGAGCATTGGAAAAGCTTTTGGCGGTTGACCTGCTTCTGTTTTGTGGGTGGCACTGTGTACTGTTTTCAATGGATGGGTCCTGGCCTCTCGGGGCCCTAGGTATCCGGAGGGATGGGGGTGGTATGCCGATCACTGGGATGACGGCCCAATTTGGGATGGGGAGGGGCTTTAGCGGGGGAATTAGTGGAGAACAATTGGAGGGTTACTTAGTAGCAATGCAAATATCATGGTACAGCTACAGTGAGGGAAAAAACTATCTGATCCCCTGCTGATTTTGTACATTTGCCCACTGACAAAGACATGATCAGTCTATAATTTTAATGGTGGGTTTATTTGAACAGTGAGAGACAGAATAACAACAAAAAAATCCAGAAAAACGCATGTCAAAAATGTTATAAATTGATTTGCATTTTAATGAGGGAAATAAGTATTTGACCCCTCTGCAAAACATGACTTAGTATTTGGTGGCAAAACCCTTGTTGGCAATCACAGAGGTTAGACGTTTCTTGTAGTTGGCCACCAGGTTTGCACACATCTCACGAGGGATTTTGTCCCATTCCTCTTTGCAGATCTTCTCCAAGTCATTAAGGTTTCGAGGCTGACGTTTGGCAACTCGAACCTTCAGAGTGGCTAGGCCACTCCAGGACCTTAATGTGCTTCTTCTTGAGCCACTCCTTTGTTGCCTTGGCCGTGTGTT